CCATTAGAAGTAATGATGTTCAGGGATCGTATTCTAACTTTCAAACAATTGGAAAGTGAACGAATTCATGAGGCATGGCCAAGGTTTAAATCTCTTCTGATTCGATGCCCTCACTCATAAAATTCCCGATATAGTCCTACTGGACTGCTTCTACAGAAGTCTTGGTCCCATAAACAAAGCATTGGATGACCGACTCATTTTAGGTGGTATTACACATCAGCCCTATGCGATAGCAGCCCACCTGCTTAATCACATGGCTGAAGCAAACCAAGAAATAGAGAAGGACTTCATGCTGGCCGCACTAATGACTCAGATGGATGAGTTGGCCCTAAAGATAGTGGAGATTGAAGTCCAATGCAAAAGGAAGGACAAATACGTTCCTCCTCATGAGCGAAGAAAGCCCAAGGACAATGAGGGTAAAGGTGTTGAGGGAATGCTCTCAATCATTCTCGACAAGGTAAGTGAGCATGATGGGGTACTGGAAGAAGTGAAGGAGATCATCAAATTGATGAAACAAATGATTGGTTCTCATTCCAGATCCATTCAGCTGCTCGAGAACCTTACGGGTCATGTGATGCCTCATCTCAATCTGATACAAAGCAGGGGGTTGCCAAGTGATGTTTTGGTTAACCCCAAAAATGAAATTTAGGTGTTAACCTGCGTCGTGCCACGACATTAACTAAGGCGTTGTTTGGGAGGCAACCCAAAACCTCTAAATGCTTTAATCTTGTTTAAGAAATAATGGTGTGTTGATGTTGTAGGTTTGAGTTTGGAAAGTGTTGATAGATGCAGTTGGCGAAATAAGGATCCAGTAGGCAAATCGCGGAACTGGTTGGTGATCTCGCTAGTGTCCGCCATTTGGACCTCCATGTAAACTGGAAGCCTTGTAAAACTAGGAGAGATACGAGACCATTTGGGGATCGCCGATTAGATCGGCGAGTGCGACTAATGTCGCCGAATGAGCGCGAACTGGATGGTTTATAATGGCCAAAAGACGTAGAATTTGAAATCCTTCACTTTCCCTCTTTTTTAAACTTCACAAACCCACACCAAGGTACTATCTTCAATGTTTTTTCTATTCCATTAGTATTGTAGTTGTTGATTGGTGCTCGGAGTTAAATTTCTTTGCCGCCTAGCTTTTGAATCGTGTTTTAATCAGCATATAAGGTTGGTTTCCGAATCCCAAATTTACATTCACAAACTTTGTACTCTTTTGCGATAATCGTATCGTATTGATGTGTGTTGGGCCTCTCTGGTTGGATTAGAATCCTTAATTGCCTATTGTTATTTGAAAAATCTTCCCCATATGGTTTGACTGTCAAATGCCCGTAATCTTTGTGCTTTTTAATTAGTTGGATCATGATTGCGTGTTTTTAGATTGATTAGGTGAAGTTTGAGTAGCCCACATTTGTGCCAAATGTTAAAAATTTGCTCAATGATAGAGCGGGTGACACCGCTCTTAAGAGCAAATATCATCAAATTGTCAAATGTGGCAAATACGGGAAAAATCTGAATATCCCGGGGTGATGGGCAATATGGGTCTTGTTTGAATTTCATTAGTGCATGCTTTGATTTTGCTTTAGGAGTTTGCGTGATTGAACTCGAGAAAGTGGATTGAAAATGGGCACGTTGGGCCATTTGTCGAGCAGGGTCGAGCTCGCCGAATCATTCGGCCGTTCGCCTTAAATCTCCATCTAGCCTTTAATGAATGCCAAATATGATGTTTAATTCTATAACTTTCGACGAGAAGCCTTAGATCGCCAAAAGCATTCACCGACTTGCCAAAAGCATTTGATGACTTGCTGAAAGACTTCTGGTTCGCCCTTTGTCTGCACCCTTGTATTCTCTATGCACTGCACTCGGCGAACAGCTGAAGTAGTTGCGCGCTTCGCCAACTGATTCAGTGAAGTGATTTTGCAATTGAACTACCTGGCTTTTGTCTGAATATTTTCTAACTTTTTCTCGAAGCTTTGCAGAAATGGCTAGACCGAAAGTAGCTGGAAGAGATATGCCACCCCGACAAACAAGAGAGAAAAATTTCAGGAAAAATACGTAGGAAACAAATCCTACCAAAACGGATAATGAGGGCAAGAAGCCTACTGCCAGCAAGTGAACAAATCCTCGAGACCCAACTATTCCCTCATGGAGACGTGGATTCTTCATAACTATCCACTCCTTTTTGGCGGCTCATGACTTGGACTATCCTAGTAAGTCAGCTGCCACTGAATTTTCTGAAGAAGCTCCAGAGGCCATTATAAAATTCAAGGCTGACACATCGGGCACTGATGTCCATACAGATGGAGCGACTCTGTAGACAAGATCCTTCTTTACCTCCATCTTTGTCTTCCTTTAATTTACATTCTAGATACTTTTATTTGCATTTCAGGACAAATGTTTTTGTTTATGGTGGGGTGAGGCCCACACCTTTTGTGTGCTACTTTTGTTCGTGTTTTGTGTATATATCTGTGGTTGTTCTTCTTTAAAAATTGTGTTTTATCTGTTTTTGTGGATGTTTGAGCATGCGACTCCTTTAATTTTATACTGCAAAATGATTTTAACCAGTCCGAAAATTTTGCCATCTCTTTTGTGATGAATGTGGTTGTTCTTTTGCAAAATTTAAATCTCGGTCTCGATCAATACCTATGACTTGAATAGTGCTTACAATCAAACGAACATGAATGTACGACTACGATGAGGCCAAATGAAGTTGCATAGACAATATGTGAACCCTTTGCATCTCGTTGTGATTAGCCATTTATCAAATCGATTCACTTGTGATGACCGTTGCACACTAGCAAAAGTGTGGAGACTTGTTTGACTTAAATGTCGATGCCTTGTGTGATAAGCTTACCTAGAACCATGCATGACAACACCTAGAATTTGTCCTGTTGGTCCGGTTGACTAAGTAAGACTTTCTCTTGATATGATCTTAGGCAACTTTGAAAAGTGTGAACCAATTTGACATATATCTCTTTTGTGACCTACCTAGTGAGTGTGTGATTCTCTCTTGAAGCAGTACCAAGTTGTCCAATGACCCAGAGCACAATGATACTGAAGGATAGTGCATGAAGGCGATGAACTACACTAAAAGGCCAATCGCCGAGTTGATTGGTGATTCCGACTAATGACGCCGAATGATCCGCTGCAGCACAAATCTGTGAAAACTATAAATACTAGTTAAAGTTATAGTTTTAAGAGGCGAACAATTATTATGATTTTCATATAGAATAGTACTTTTTGATATTTTTGCTCTAAGTTTTAGAGGGTTTTGAAGACTTGAAGTTCCAAAGGGTTTCATCTTCAATATTTGGATTTGGGTCTCTTGGATTCTTCAATTTTGGCCTGTAGCAAGACTTAAATCTTCATGCCCAGTTGAATGCAAGCTGAATTTGGTATAAATTTCTATCTCTTATACATGTGTGGCCAAACACCCCAATTCTTGGGGTGTGATTTAGCGAATATGGGTTAAGATAATTGTTGGGTCTTGCTTGCTGATAGTCTATTCGTAGTTTAAATATGATTTCGTTTAGTGGTTGTGGATGCATTTAATGAATTTGTAGTTGCAAATACAAGTTTATTTATGTGTGTTTCGGCTTGCTCAAGAGAGAGGTCGTAAAACTAAGACCACTAGATTGATGGCCAGTGTGAGTGGGTCGACATGAAGTTCAGCTCGAGAGAGTGAACCCTAGTCCCATGTCGACACATTCAGCTCGAGAGAGTGAGTGGGTTAAGGCGTAGGCTGGTGTTCATGCGGCAAGTGGGTGTCCGAGAGGAACACATTTGCAACGGGGTAAGTTGCTCGAGGGAGAGCTTATCCCCCTTAAAATTTAGCCTAGTCACAATTATTCTATGAATCTTCTATCGAAGGCATGTACCCAATAATCTTCTATCGAAGGCTTGTGACATCAAAATCCTTTTATTAAATTTGGTGGAGAGATCCACCCACTTGTTTTATTGATGTAAATAAGAGAACTTACATCCCAAATTTCCGGATATAATTCCTAGCCATGTATCATTCTCTGTGGCATTCGCCCCCGATTCTTCGTTGGGTATTTTTATTGAAAATGATTCCCTTACACTACAAGAAAAACAACATCTAAGGAAGGGAAATCTAGTCCCTAAAAGTACAATTTTGGTTGCAAATGCGCATTTGCGACCTGAAAAAGTTGGTCGCGACCCGTCCTAATAGGCTCAGTCGTAATTGGTCAACTACGACGAGTTTTAAAATCTGGTCGTTAAATGGGTTTGGGGGATGGGAAAAAATCTAGTCCCTAAAACTGTTTTAGCGACTATCTTTCTTGTCATTAAAAAAGATTAGTATTGTGTTTTCCTAGTACCTCTAGCCCATCAGTGACCAGAGTGCACTGGTTCGAAAATAATTAAGGACGACAAAAATGCTCCTTAAATGTCTTTAAGAACAAGAAAATATCTGGTCCCTAAAATGTACATAAACCTAACAAAATTATTGTTTGATCATATACTCAGCTCAACCAAAAGATTTCTATCCAATATCATAAGATACTACAATATATACATCATAGATAATAGTTAAAGATAAAAGACTTGATTAAAAAAATAAATTAACATCTCATTAGTTACATGGCCATGACATATAACTTATAAGTTATTTAGGATTTCTTCTATTTTAGTCACACATACTACCATGTTTCTTTTGCAGCAAAGGATTTCTAGCAATACAATACCATAGCTAAAGACATCAACCTTGATAGAGATGGGCCATTTGTTTGACATTCTGATGCTAAATACCCTCTACTCCCTCTTACACTACTGAATGTTCTTGTTTGATCAACCATTAGAGGGTTTGTAGCCCAAAATCTGAGATTTTTAGCTGTCAACAACTCGCCGAGTAAGATATTTTGTGGCTTTATATCACAGTAGATAATTGGAGCTTCACATTCTTCATGGAGGTAAAGGATTCCCCTTCCCACATCTAATGCATTATTTACTCTTAGGTTCTAATCCGGTGGTCTAGCTCCTCGAAACAACATATTTGATTGGCAACTATTGTTCATATATTCATCAACAAGAGCCAAATGATAATCGCCTTGTTAGGTTGTATGATGTTTTTGAAATCTTCATCTTGAATGATAAATTGAGTTTTCAAAATCTGTAATGACATAAAACATTATCTTCAAAAACTATAAGAATGACTAGAAAATTGGTTTAATGGTTCTTATGTCAGCTCAAGTCTGACAGTGTTTTAACCACTCACCTGAAAAAAAGTCCAAATTCATCAAGTGTAACTACGTACATACACTTAAAAAATTAAACATCAATGTAAAAGTGGCTGCAAGAATACAAACAATAATGAATTAGCTTATTTCCATGTACTAGATTAGAGGAAAATACTTAGACAATACATAGGTTTAGTACAATAATAATAAAATAAGGAGATAACAGACAACCAATTAATGAGTTGTCTATGTATCAGGACAATATTTGGATTCGTCTAGTCTTATGAAACTAACTATGGTAAATACAATAGGCGTTTCGAGTTGTGAATTCACATGACGCCATACTTCTTGTGGCAAAGAAAGTCTCTTCACTTATCAATCTAAAAGAACACTTCCACAATAGTTCCAATGCGAAATCTATCATCACAGGAGTATGGATAATGAACTGAAACATAAATTAAAACTTCTATAAAACTGACTTCTACCAAAAGAATTCAACTCAAAATAGATTTTATTTAAAATTCAAGTGGTTAAATTTAACATATATATGTTCACAATATTAATTCATAATTTTGAACAAAAGTAAGTACTAAATAACTTTGTTTCCTTTAATTATTGATGTAAAATCATCTTCCATTCAACAACAAATTCTTTCAATTCAACTAAAGAGATTCTCATAATCCCACAATTTAAGTAGACGAGATAAGATATTCTCCTTTGTAGTTGTGAAAGTCATTTTATTGCTGGAATCCTATTTCTATAAAGATATAAAGAAAACATATTGAATATAAAGAACAAAAATAGACTAATACCTAGAGATGACCTGCCACATTCCCTTGTGAAGACTGAAAAACACAAGGTCTCTTTTGAATTGCTGGATTTTCACTGTCATTTCAATTTGTTAAGATTCTCCTGTGGTCTGCTTTACATGATAGTTGTGCTTTGTCTTCTCTTCCGCCTACTTTACGATGCTCATCTTGATCGTTAGACATGTTATCGTTCTCACAACCCATTAATAAATATTTTCATTTACATTCAGCTCCTAAAGCAGATAGGTCACCAAATAGTAACAAAAAATAAAAATATATCGAAGTTAGGACATGGAGATAGTAAATCTAACTAGGCTATTTTGTTCTACAAGCATAAAGGTACAAACACATTAGGAAAAACCATTCACTACTGAATCAAGTGAACACAAACAATAAAATTTATCAATAACTTTTAAATCAATAGTCCTCAAATATGCAGTTTATCTTCAATCTCCAAGTAAGTCAGGGAAATAAGGCAATGTAGATTTGCTAGACCACCTAATATTTTCTACTATCTATGAGTTCATCAACAAATTACTCAAGAGTTACTTGAAAAAAGTAACAGTATCAACTAACAAACTACAATGTAAACATAAAAAATATCAGAAAGTGAACACGATAAAAGGAAGCAGCAATTCGTCTATTACCAAAAAGATTAGAGGAATTCTCATTAAGTGAAAAAGTGACAGCAGACAACTTCTTTTTCTTCTTCCTATCCTTCCTTTTCATTGGTCATTAATGCTATTACTTTATCAAAGAAAGAGTTGTGTATTGAAAAGAATATAATTGACCATTAGCACTAGTCCCATCATCAATAAACTTTAATCAACAAAATTAAATTTTAACCATATTTACAGTAGCATAGATATTGTCAAACATCCAACAATTAACTAAAGTAAATCACTGCAAACAAATATTTGTTCTAGCTTTGAAATTCCATTACCTGAAACATTTATATGCAGGCAGTTATATATGTGGCTAAAGAAATTACTTACTCTGCAATTTGTAGCTTAATGACATATAACCAACAGAAAGCAAAAAGAAGAAAAATATTGAATGATGGTGAATTAGATTAACAAAAATTACAAGATGACAGAAAGACAAGACAAAAGCACAAAATCCACCAAAAAAATCAGATATCAAAGTCTTTGTTGACCTATTTCAGAACACAAAATAAAGATGTTGCACTTCCTTTTAAAGAAGGGACAATCTGCCGGAAGTTCAACATGTCTTGTTAAGAGACAAAAATTAAATTCTGAAGGTTCTAGCATGAATGTTTGATGAAGAACTTAAAAGATGTCAAATATTGATATAAGAGATCACTTCATTAGGAAACTTATACACCAAACACCTATGAATGTGCACTAACAATAACTTTATCAATACAAATATGAATATAATAGGCTACTGTCAAAAATGTGATTAAAAATATACATTCACATCATCTTATATTCGTCAGATAATACAAAAAGTGATTGAAAATACATTTAAAAAGTCAATTCACATCAATGTTCTTCCCTGTCAAATTTTTTTTTTTTTTAAATTACAGATTAGATTACCAAATCCAATAAGTTGGTTATATAGTTTTAAAAAAAATAAAAATCTAGAGGAAAGGAAAATAAAAAAAATCTAGAGTAAATGAGCTCACTTTGGGAACCTAATAAGCAAACAAGTTCAATCAATTCACAAGAAATTTAGAATACTTGTTTAATGCAATCTCAATACCTGAAATCCACAATAAATTGTTGAATATGTCCCCTTGTTTTTTGACAAGCCCTACTTATAGCCTCATACATAACATATAGACATGCAATCGCACCAGAAAGAAAGAAAATAAATGAAGAAGTTTTATTTTTTATCGAAGAAAGAAAAAAAAGATGAAATGCACCTATTACGTTTACCAGATTAAGAGGTAGATACATTGAGTTACAGAATTTGATTATCCTTGAGCAATTACCCAGCGCGCGTCTCCTGTATCTCCGTCTCTAGAGATTGCAATTTGAGTAATCTCCAAATAGGGTTTAGGTCTTTAGGAATTTTTTTAGAGAGAATATTTTTTAGCAAAGCCAGCTGATATTTTTGACTAAGCACACCTTTAATTGCTGAAATTTTTGACTAAGCACGCCTTTAGTTACTGAAATATTATAGGGACCAGTTATTTTAAAAAAAATATTATTTATAGAATTAAAATGCGATATAGGGACCATAAAATAATCTCATCCCTAAAAATATACTACTAAGGACCATATTTTAAACCCGTCACTATATTTTGGTCCTTTATAAGTCTTTTTCTTGTAGTGTTACTCTTTTAACTGGTTTTGAAGAGTAGTTTGAGTGATATCAAGGCTGGAAGTAACTAAAACAGGAGGATATTTTGCCTACATCAAGGTTAGATCTTCTTTTCTTGACAAAGTGAAAGGAAAGCAATTTGATGATGAGAAGCTGAGCCTGATTCAGTGTATGGTCTTGTAGGGAGAGGACAAAGAGGCTATGATTTATGGAAAAGGTGTCTTGAGGGTTAAAGGGAGTGTATGTGTCGTGTTGATGATTTGACTTAGACTATTCTTGTAAAGGCTCACACTTCGAGGTTTTTTATACATTTGGTTCAACTGAGATGTATCGTGATCTGAATAAAAATTATTGGTCAACTAGAATGAAGTGTGATATTTTTGATTTTGTTGCCCAATGTATGATTTGTTAGCAGGTAAAGAATGAGCACTAGAGGCCTGGATGGACACTTCAGAGAATGCCCATTCTTGAATGGATGTGGGAAGGAATTTAATGGGCTCTGTGGTTAGTCTTCCAAATACATTGTGTAAGTTTGATTCAGTGTGGGTAATTGTTGACCCGTTAACTAAGGCTTGTCACTTTGTTCCGGTCAAGGTGACTTACAAGGTAGAGAAGTTAGCCAAACTCTATATCAATCTTCGAGATTGTTCGATTGCATGGAGTTTCGATTTCCATCATTCAAATAGAGATACAAAGTTTAATTTTAACTTTTAGAGGACCTTGCAGGCTGAGTTAGGTACTATATTGGATCTCAGTACCACATTTCACCTTAAGACCAATGGTCAATCTAAGCAGGCCATTCAAGTGCTGGAGGATTTGGTTTGTGCTTGTGTGATAGATTTTGGTGGTCATTGGGATCGGTTCTTACCCTAGGAAGTGTTTTCGTACAACAATAACAATCACTCGAGTATTGATATGGCTCCATTTGAGGCATTGTATGGAAAGAGATGTAGGTCTCATATTGGTTGGTTTGATTCATTTGAGATGAGACCTTAGGGTACTGATCTTCTTAGTGAATCATCGAAGAAGGTGGCATATATTCAGGAGAAGCTTCTAGCAATAGAGCAGGCCAGAAAGAGTATGCATACCGGAAAGTGAGGGGCTTGGATTTTATGGAGGGAGAGAAAGTGTTATTGAAGGTTTCACCCATGAAGGGTGTGATGAGGTTTCGTAAGTGAGGTAAGCTTAGTTCGAGGTATATTATTCCGTTTGAATTTCTTAATCGTGAGGGACAGGTGGCCTATGAATTAGTTTTGCCTCCAATGTTGTTCGTAATACACCCAGTATTTCATGTATTTATGTTGAAGAAATATTATGGTGATGGAAACTACATTCTTCGTTGAGATTCGGTGCTATTTGTTGAGATTATGTATTATGAGGCGGAGCCTGTAGCTATTCCAGATAGGAAGGTTCAAAAGTTGAAGTAATAGAAGATTGCATCTATGAAGGTCCAGTGAAAAGATTGGTCGGTTACAGAGTCAACTTGGGGGACTGAGGCTGATATGCCCAAAATGTATCCATACTTTTCGTCGATTCAAGTACCGTCCCCCGCTTTTATTTTGATCGTTCAGGGACGAACGGTTGGTAAATTGGAATCTGATGTAACGACCCGTTAGGTCATTTTGAGCACTACAACCATTTTGACTCTCTCTGTAAGAATTTAAATGGTAATTTTGCACTATTAATTTAACTACAATTGTCTAGTTGGTGTGTTTTTATTAAATTAGTAATTTTTAGATGATTAATTTAGTTGGTGGTTAATGGGTCAAATCCATAATTTATTTATATCCTATACCACCTTACTCATTTGTTGGAATAAGTTAAAGAAGTTTATTATTATTTTAATTATAACATAAACCTACGGAAACTAATATCCTTAGACGAGCGGAAGATGGACACCTCATACTTAATGGTCAGGTAAGAAAATAATTAAAAGTTAGCTTTTAATCATTTTATAGCTAATATATAGTGAATAGGTGGAGATCCAATAAAAAATTTCATTATATTATTGGAGTTGGATAAGAAATTAGAAATTGATAATGTTGACACATGTTGCTGCAAGGTTTGTTGGTTCTGTATATTAGGGGGATAAGAAATAATGGATTAACTTAAGGAATAATGATGATCCAATAATTAAGAAAAACTCATTGTTAGGTGGGGTGTCGAATTCCTACTAAATTAGTACTTTTTTTTATTTTTTATGTTTTAGCATTTTAGTTGGGAATATCTCTTGAATATCGCGTGCAACTTCTCTTCTCTCTCTCTCTTCCAAAGCATACGGCTTTCTGGATGTAGATGATGATATCTATACATATGGATCTTATATATATCATAAAATGAAGTACCACATGGTTGGATATATATGAATCCAAATCTGCCGAATCACTCTTGTTATGATCTTCTGCATACTGGGTCTTCCCATTCCGTCATCTGGCTTATGTTCTTCATGTAGCATTTAGACCGAATGACTATGAAATTACGTCGATACTTCCACATATTATGGGTAACGTAGGAGACATCTCTATTTTCCCCCCGGTGAATCTTTAGTATTCCCACTGCTTAACTTTCAATTCGCCTCTGACCATCAAATGAAATGTCCATAACCCATCCTCCTCTCTTTGAAAGAAGGGGCGCTTCCGGTTCTGTCGGTGCTTGAAACAATTTTGTCTTCTCCATATTACTATATCTCTAGAGTCCATAATTTTATATGAGGAACTACTGAACTAAATCACTTGCTACCGTTACTCATCAGTTTTCTGTTGAGGTCTATCCTGTAGAGGTACTCAAATTGGTTCAGTGATCGATTTCTAGGTTTCGTTGTAAACCTAATTGGTTATTTCCAATTACGTAAATCAATAATTCAAATCGTACTCAAAGGTAGGGCATTTCCTATTTTTATAGGAACTTCTATAAAAATTGGAGAGGATCTCTCGCAACAATAAAGCATGGAGCACTAGGAGGATAGATACTCGGCGAAACACATTTGTCGTTCATAATACCACTGTCAATTCTGCAGATGACATTCGTGAGGAGATGGCCCAGATGAGGACAGAGTTGGGGTTGGTATTGAAGCATGTGAGCGGAGGAGCAGAAAAGGTAAATG